CATTTTGAATGATTCTGGAACCAGCTTTAAATTAATCCATGGAGATGTTGCTAGAGGTACCAAGGTCGATTACTCTGATTTAACTGAACTTCTGAAGTGTGGGGTGAGATAAAAGGCTATGAATATACGTGTACATATGTCGCGAAAAAAAAAATAAACTTTTGCAAATAAGAGCGGCTGAAAAAAATGGAAAAAAATTGCTCAACCTCTACTCTCCCTCCGCCTCTCCAAATAAAATGCTCCTTTCCCAATAAAGTAGCCTAAGATCGGTCTATAGTTTTTGTATTGATTGCCTTTTTTTTCAATCAGTTAACAACGGAATCAAGAGACATACCTCACAGATGCCAAGATTGACAAGCTTTTGACACGGGACCTAATCTTTCAATCAGCTCGTTTAGGAAACTCATATTATTTACAGAGCTTTACTAGCCTTCGAGAGCATCCGGTTTTTTCGGCTTTGGTTTGCGGTTCGCAGGCTAATTATTTACCATTTTCAATTCAATGTTTGTCTGAATCTTAGTCCGTTTTCTTTCCAGCAATTTCTTTGCATAAAAAACACCACACGACTCAGATCAAAAAACTTATGTCAAGTAAATCTAATTTAAAAAAAATATATTTTTTGATAAAAGATTCCATACTTTCCTTAGCATTGTTGACATTCATGGAAACGGCCGTTTGACCTTTCAGAACTGGTTCATTGCGATCGCCCACTATCTAACTTTCTAACTAATCAAGTCATACCAGAGCAATAAAATACTCAATCAATCTTTCGATTTTGCAAGTAAAAACTATTTTCCTGATCACCACGAAAAAATGGGAATTTTTGGAGTTTTTGTTATTACCCCCGGTTGGGTGACGATTTCAACGTGCATTTTATGCAAAAGCATCGAAAATGAACTGTGCGTTTACCTCTCTCGGCGGGTTGCTTTTTAATTGCCCGAGCTGGATTTTTCATATGTTATACTGCAACAGTAGGACTTTTCTAAGGTATAATAATTCTTCCAAAATTTCATGTACCAAGCCGTGATTTTTTCCTTTAAAGTTTCGCAAAATTTGATTGTTCATGAAGGTGCTGAAGATAGGAATCTTCGGGCGATTTTGACCGAGTAAAAAATACATTATCTTGCAATATTTTTACCAAATAGTATTGTAACTGGGATGCCTTACTTACCTGCCAAAGATGAACTTGTTTCCTTCAACCGCCTTTCTTCTCGAGGGCTTTGAAAATAGTAAAATTCAAAGGTTTTAGACCGGCGATTATATGACGTGGGGCAGCATTTCACTTTTTTGGCGGTTTTCTCGAAAAAGAAAATCCTTTGGAAACTTTGATTGTGATTTTCGAAAATGTTTCACCAAAGGGTTTTTCCTGACTGAAAATGAAGTATTTCGAAATCTCAATTTTGACGGCAAATTCTCGATATTTACCGACAGCCGCTCTTAAATGTTTTACATATTTTATTCCCAGCCTTTTAATAAAACAGCTTCTTAGCATGTATATGGAAGATGCGCGTTTTAAAGACAAAGAGAAAAGGATTCGAAATACGAGACTAATAAAACATGCCTCAGAACACAAATGCAGCCCATAAGTCCTTGCGGCAGGTGCGATTTTCAGTAGGATGAGAGCCTGGGGATGAGGGGAACTTCCAATAAACAAAATGGCCGAATGGGGGAGTGTGCTCAGTCAGAAGGGCTTTACACAGACTTTTGTGGCACGTGGAACCGTGTCATGGGGGAGTAACGATGATGCGGCAGGTGAGCTACAAATTTGGTATCATGAGAGGAGGAACGTATACCTCATTTATGCCGGCAATACAGAGGGAGATGGCATGGTGGTATGTAAAGTTATTGATGTTTTTACTCTTCACTTCCAAAAGTGCACTGACAAAATCAAAACTTTATTAGTATAGGTAATAGCAGGATTTGTAGTGATATTTGACATAAATACCACGAGTGATATTTCGAAACTGTTATACGTAATTTTACGAGCCGTTAGGCGAGTGAAATTTGAGACAATTTTGAAATATCACGAGTGGTATTTATGCAAAATATCACGTACAAATCATGCTATTATTTGTTTATACTACTACCAGCAAAAGGTTTGTAATTTTCACATGTAGGTATTTCAAATTAAGCTGAAATACCACTGCTCTAAGCCAGTCAAATTGCAGAAATTTTTCATGTAGTAGTTTAACTTAAAGAAGTCGAAATTTCATTTCGTATTGCGGTATTAGGCTTTTTTTCGTGCGGTATTTCGGTGATTTTAATTTTAACGTGCGGTATTGCGGTATCGTCTAGCTCTGCGGTATGCGGTTTTTCGTCATTTTGGCTGATGGTATTCGGTGAAATAAGATTGTTCACGGTATTACGGTACCGTTTATTTCACTTTCCTTTCGATACAATACGCAAAACAAAACACAGTAGGACATAAAGTTCAATAAAAGTTAATATTTAGAAGTCTTGAGACATGATTACACCATTTGTGGGTCATTTTGTGACAGTTAATGGTCGATAATATACAATGTTATTGTTGTTGCATCCAATTATAATGAGTCGTCTCAAGTTACCTTACCAGGCTTTTCGATCTGTACACCTGTGCCGGTAATTCGAGGTCTTACACGTTTCCTCACAGTGGCTGAGGTCGCTGAGGTTGAAGACGGCGTGGTCATCATTGACTGTGTGGCAATTTTTTATGAAGAGGGCGAAGGAGGCGAACATTACGCAACAAGAATAAGTTTAGATGTCGGGTTTCGAGAATTGAAAAACGCCTAGTAAAGTTAAAAGAGAATTTTGGTAAGTTTGCCTCTTCTTGGCGCGGCGTGTGAGACAGTCGAGGGCGGTCGATATAGTTGACCCGTGAGAGACTGACGTGCTAGACTAGACTCACTTATCAAAACTCGCACTAGACGTGCGTGCAAAGGGTTTTGGTTGGTTTGTTTTTTGCGCTTTTAGTTATTGGAGTTAATTAGCTGTTGGATCGACCTACCAAAAGTTTGAACGGATGTAGTTTACTTTTCAGAGAAAATTTGCGAAAAATTTGCGAACTACCAAAATATTAAAAAAACATGTACATCAGGTGCATAAATGCCTGAGATTATTAAACGCGCTAGATGGAAGCAACCATAAGTATGCGGAACCGATTATAAATGTGATTAAAATATGCAGTATCGGTATTTCGACGATTTTCGACGCGGTATTTCGGTATATGCAATTTTTTCTTACGGTATGGAGCTATTGGGTACCCCCCAATGTCCCCCTCAATACTGAAAATAAATAGTACCATGTAAGAGTACTGATAAAGGGGTTTCGTCCAGGGGCTCAAGAGTAAGACTTTTATGGATGCATAATTGACCCTGGGAGTGATAGGGTTTAAACTATGTACAATTTAACAATTATTTATACTGAACCCTTTTTATTTGAAAAAATTACCTTATTTATGTGTTTATGCAGTCACCTTAATGTATCTGTCATACTTTTTCACATCATGTAATTTTTTGTTTTTCTTTTGTTTTTGGGTATGGTACATACATTTGAAGCAAAAGAAAATAAAAATTACCTGAGATAAAAAAAAATTAACTACAACATATCCATTTATTATTTTATATGCTTTCTTCTTCATTAAACATCTAAATACAGTAAAGACTCACTAATAAGAACCTGTGGATTAAGAACCTTTTGGCGGAAATTTGCCACTTTAATCCCAAAAATACAAGAACCTGTTTAGCCTAGCCTGCGTTGCAGCTGGCTCACGCACTCATCTAAACCATTAGTATAGTCCATTTGCGAATTAGCGCTCAAAAGCTCGTTCTAATATCCTCCAGAGTCACAAAGACAAGTGAGCATTTCTGATAGGCAGGTTTCTTACGTGTTTCTTAAGCACCTCACGACTGGTCCAATTCTTATGTGTGCCTGACAACTGGAAGCAGTGACATGTCAAAATTCACAAAAGGGAACTGGCAAACAATGAAATAGCAGTTCAAACTTTAAAGCCTTCTTCGGCACAAAAAAAAACAGGAAATCGTTATCTTCACAGCCAAAAATAAAACCTACTACATGTGGCTATTCAGGTCCTGGCATTTCAGAGAAACCAAAGAAACTAAGGTTATATTTCGCCACAAGAAAGAAGCCTAAGGCGTGAACAGAGGTAAAAGAAAATCATTTCATGGTAAACTGCATCTGTGATCAAATTCTGTCAGAAAACATCTGCAGAAACATAAACCATAGGAACTATTTGCTCAATATGCATGGAACCGACCAGCTTCCTCAACCTCTAAATGCGAGACTCAAAGCGGTAAAATCAAATTTGCTCAGTGTAGAATAACTCCATGCACTGCATAAACTATGCAAAAAGAGAGCAAGAAAAACCTCTGTTGTTCAAGTTGACTTTACGGTCACGTTTTGCACTATCAAAAGCTCAATCTCCCTTCTCACAAGCTATAATTATGTATAGGTTATTTCATGGTTGGTGAGCACGTACGAGCGGTGAGCGCGAGTGAGTTTGTTTTACACAACGAGAGAATAAAAATCGTACAAGCGAACTAACTGTGAAATAACGTATTTATTATATACATACCGAGATTCATAAGCAAACAGATTAACATATCTTTATTTTCTTTGAAAGGAAAACAACGCGCGGTCAAGGCGCCTCACAGTTCGAGAGTTTCACTGAAATGGCTTCCTTGTAATAAAAATAATTTAAATCTAAATTCTCAAGCAAAAATGCCATTAAAAGGCAGAACTAGTCAGAATAAAATAAGAAATCCTGAAAATATGTCGTAATAGTTCTACGGAAGTTCAAAATCTGAAATACAGAAGTGTTAACTCGAGACTTCATTTTTTAATGCTTATCAGAACCCGCATGCTTGAATTGACAAACACTAGTCAGAATCAGCAGAATCCGAATCAAGAGGTTTGATTCTTTTATAAGTTTTGCTAGGGTTTTCCTCTAGCACTGAAAGTGTGTGCGATTGATTTAAAGTGTTCATTGCCACACTAATATGTCCTCAGCTTATTACAGCACCCGAAAAAAGAGAAAGGGGCTGCCGTGCTCCTTGCTTGCTTTGCTGAGAAAAAGTTGGACGAAATGTTGGATAAGTGAGTTCGTCAAACTCGTGCTTTCTTTTCTCCGGAATAGAAGAGCCAGACTGGGGAGCTATTTCTCCCAAAATCAGTCCAGTGAGAGTGTGAAACATGTTCAACTGTTGTTTCTATGAGACGCAGGGGCGGATCCAGGGGGAGGGTGCAGGGGGTGCGCATCCCCCTGAGATGACCTGCGGTTGTCTAATACAACTGGTATTCTCCGAAAAAAAAAATACTATTTGGTTTATTGGTGTTGAAGTAGAGCAAGAGACCAGTGCACCCCCTCCTAAAAAAAATTCTGGATCCGCCCCTGAGACGGTAGAGTAGCTAGTGATACTTTGAACGTTTTTAACTCCTGGCAGTTGCATGAAATCAGTTGGCGGCACGTCGTTGTTGGCTAAAGTTTGAATCATAGTTTTTCTGCCGCTGTGGTTTTTGAAGTTTGGCCCGAGTTCGGCTTTCTGTGCCATTGTTTTCATTAAGGTATTATGCTTATTTACACCGACTGGAGCTTTTTTGAACCAAGGTTTGCCGAAGCCAGATTTTACATTTTTTACTGCCAAGTAAAACGGTGCATCGTCGGTTTTCATTTCCGCGGGTCGCTTTTCTGCGTAGACTTTGTGGGCCTTTACTGGACATTTCTCGTTGTTCAGCACAGCAAACATTTTCGGTGCTATGGTTCTTACATTCCGAGGATTGTTTCCTACATGAAGCAGGATTTCCTCGCGAAAAGTTTTTAACTTCCTACTTTTTCGACAGTCAAGTATAATCTTCAGGATATATCGTATTTGACAATTTGTTTCTGAATTGATTTAGTGTGTGTATAAATACACGAAAATTAAGGGCCTAGATTCGAGAGAAATTACATCATTGCCAGAAAGCAAAAAAAAGTGATGAACATAACATGTCATTTCAGTCATCGCTGAAAATGAAACAATGAAAGTTTACAACACCCGGCCAGTTAGCCTCACCATCTGCACCATTGATCGAAGTTTTGCTCATTAAGATTCTTCTTTTTTCGACCACTGAGGTGTTCACTTGTTCCAAAGTAATCAGCACTTTCAAGCGATCGAATTCATGGACTAGCTGCCTGTTCCAGAAAAGCTGAATCTTTTGCATAAATCTTTCCTAAGCTTTCTTCATGCACGGCTCCAGTCATGCTTATCCCCAGTTTTCATGGTCTCCCAGACGTTCAACCCTGAGACCTTGACTCTTATTTTGTGGAATTAAAACAAAGACAAAAAATGTCTTGCAGATTGTGAGTCTGCAATCGAGACTAACAAGAAATTTGGTAATCAGGTTTGTTAGGGCTATATGTATAATAATACAATAATTTATTAATATTAATATTATTAATATTAATTATTTTTAATTAATTATTGTGAATAACTAGAAAGTTAATTTATTTTTCTGATTTTGAATCAACAAAGTATCTCCTTCATATGTAAAAAAAGAACCTAGATAGCCTAAATTGCCAATAAGTACCCCAAAATACAAGAACAGTATTTTAACACTCTTCAAAAAAGTAGGTTTTTTATTTCGTGTGCTACTGTACCTCATTTGCAAGTAAATGATTGGCCACCATGGCAGCTTGATGCATCAAAACAATAGGTTCATGAGGAATTGGAGTGAGTTCACTTGATTTACGTAAAAACTTTTAATGAGCACCCAGTGCTGTGTTTACGTTTGATAATTTACCAATTATTTACTGAGGTTATGTTAAAATGCCTTTCATGTTTAGTGTCAGCAGAACATACATGTACATTTAACAATAATAAACTTGCAGTGACTCTAGGAGCTATTACATGTATACCTGCATTCATCCATACCAGGATGTGGTTTATACTTCCTCCCACAGAAGGCATCAGAAATTCCAGTGGGAAGAGGGTCCAAGAGGAGGCAATTTCCAAGGGGGTGGGGTCAGATTCTCAAGGTCTTTCTTTCCAGGGACTTTGAAACAAAAATTATTGTTTTTATTGGTGATCTTACATTAACAGTTATAGCTGAACGCTTTTTTCACAGCTAACCTGTGTGATTTAGTCTACACGTATCTAATATAAATGTCATCCGCTAATGAAAAATGCCGGTCATCCAGCTCATTGCTTTATATTTCACAATATAATTGTGGTATTCACTGTGTTATGGTAATGTTCTATCAGCCTTCTTGTAACTTGTTTTTTAAAAACAAGTTAATAACTGAAAGGAAGTAATTGTTTACTGTTTAATGGTTCTTACATAGATGCTCTCATAGTACACGTACATGCACTGGACAAAACTGTTCTGGATTGATGTTATATTACACAAAAATAAAAGAAGCCAAGGAACCTCAATTATATTTTTCTCTTTTGAAGTTTATCAAATTCCACACATGGGGAAATATTTTCATGTTGATCACGCGAGGGGGACTTGAATTTTACAGCGTATCCAAACATGGTAACGAAATCACAAAGGTATGCAAATCACGTGATTTCTAAGAAACAAAACAAACAAAAAAAATGAAGGGTTGTTGTGTTAAGAATATCGCGACATTTTTGTGGATGTTTTGAGAAGCATTCAATGGGAAAACACAAGGAAAACTTAAGGACAGTCTACAACTTATTTGACCACTGAAATATGGCACTTTCTACAGACTCTCGTCATCTTAAAACTCTTCTTGCCGCTGGATCGGTCTTCCATCTGTTTTGAAGATAGCAGCCTGTTGCTCACGCTCCATTCCAGCAGCCACGAAATGCTGCTGTGTTAAAGCGTAGTCGGCCAAGAACTTCAGACACTGCTATTTGGACGTCACTAATAGTTGCTGGACCATATTTCTTGGCTCTTCTGCCAGGAGTTTGCCATTTAGTCTCACTTTGTGTTGCACAACTGCTTGAAACAACTCTGTGGATTTGCCTCGTGGTCCTTCATTGGTAGCATATAATATATGTATCACAGCTTGAATCTTCGACTCTCATAACTGCTAATATATGAAAGGATTATACTGCTGCACGTCAATGACTCGATCCAAGTTTAATCTTTGCTGCAAGATTTATTTGGACACAACATTCTAACATGACAACACTTCTTTTTCATCGAAAAACACGTAGTGATTTGTTTTTCTTAAAAATTACGTGATTTTGTGTACCTTGATGATTTTTTTACCAAGTTTTGATACGCCGTAACGCAATTATTCCTTGTTTGATCAACATGAAAATGTTATTCCACGTGTGGAATTTAATATTGTGTAATGGGTCCTTATAACTTATTTTATTTTTGTATAATAAAACGTCAATCCAGAAAAGTTTTGTCCAGTTTACTATGTGTCTTTTAAGGTATTGCCTCCTTGGTTGTCAGTGACATATGCCTGTACTCTAGCTGGTAATAATTAACAAAGAAAGGCATTTACATGCAAGGTAAAACTGAGAGCATTAGACACTCTTTTAAGATGAATAAAAAGATTTTTCCTCCCTTTATCGCAGAAAACATACAATTATCTTTTGCATAAAAGTATAGTGCAACAGCATTTTTGATGAAAATATTCTCTTCAGGGGGGTCTCCACCAAGTTCCCTTGCCCCGTGTTTGTTTGGTGAAGTTAAGCTCTGTCAGGCGGGGTTAGTAGTGGGATGGGTGAGACCTTTTGGGATATAACATGTAATATACTTTGACTTTAAGTTTATTTTTCAAAAGAAAGCAGTTTATTGTTTAACATGCCGATACAGCATGTTGTTTTTATGTAAATACTAAAAGTTTTAGAGTCAGAAGAAATCGCAAAGGACTTATTCTTTGATCATATTAGTACGTTTATTGTAAATAGCTAGGGGAAGGGTTGAACTAGAGCTGACAGATAGTGCTGCTTTTTATATCATCTGGCTTGTTTATAGCCTGCAGTGCAGACAGCCCACGTAATGTGTACAGTAAAGATATAGTTGGTTTAAAGAAGGTTTAAAGTGTCTACGGCGTAGGCTAGCTTGTTTATAGTACAGTATTGTTGTAAAGTGCAATGAACTCAACCAGAGCACTGCACCCAATAATAATCAGCCAATCGCAAGTCATGTTCACAAGGACAGTTAGTTGCATGTCAAAAACAACATATCTCTTTAAATCTCAAACCGCCACCGCCCAAGTGTGTTCACTGCAGTGATATTAATTCAACTTAAGAAAATTTTGTAGGTTTTAATAAATTGTATATTACACTTGAAAAAAGAATCAAAATTTTGTTGAGCCATTAGCCACGCAGTATATATATGCTAACAACCACATCCATGTTGGTTTAATTGAGCAAACAGTGTAATTGATCATCCTCTTTTGGGACACCTTCATTCAGCAGACACAAAATTTGGTCCCGGAAAATGTGCACATAATCTTTGTATATTTATTACCTCAAATAAAGAGACGAGTGACCTCTATTCAGAGGAAAAGGACATTTTTTCTGGGTCCGGAAAAAGTGGAAGCTTTCACAAACTGAACTATCTCACGTAAATCAATGAAATGCATGTGTGAATTCAACATATAATTATAGCAATAACATCTGTTCAACAAATTTATTCAGTATTATCATTTTTGTACAGGTGTTAACAATTTTAAAAAATTAAATTAAATTAAATTAAAAAAGGAAATAAAAATAAAATAAAGAAACTATAAGGGAGTTTAAGATACCACAACAAAAACGTCGCTTAAAAAGTGGATTTCCATTCTTTCAGTCTCTATCGCGATTACTCCAACTAATTCACTTTGTCAAATGTAAGTGAAGTCTTTTTCATCAAAATCACTAAGAATCATATTCAAGTTGAGGAAAAGGGGCGTAGCTAGGATTTTCAAGTGGGGGGTCACCTTGTGTCTAACCCAGGGTACTTACCAGATTGGCATGTCCAGGCCATGTTTTACTAAACATGACATTTGGATGAGCAGTGAGCGTAGATGGAGGGACAAGCCCACAAAATAGCTGCATAGATTAATTAAGTTCCACATAGCATAAATTACTCTATTTTAGTTATGAACAAGAACGTGGTCCACTGTAGATTTTCGGTCCTTCAGATGGAGTTAGTAATAATCTAGCACTGCCCTGGAAAAGATTTATTGCATGTTGATTCTTCACATTCGCGCGTTTTGGTCACCTGAATTATAGGAACATAAAACAGTTATCTCGCAAAAGGGGGGGGGGGGCATGGGTACCCCAGCACCACCCCCTAGCTACGCCCCTGTCGTGGTCATGCAGTGATGGCAAAAAAAATGTCCAAGAAAGCGTAATGCAGGTGCAGAGTTGTTGCTTTGCCTATTCATTTCAACCTATAGAGCGTTTTCACATGACCTCACGGTGGCCATATTGGTGTTCCAAAACAAAGAAACGGCGGCCATGTTCAGTGATGTTGGTGTTCCAAACCAATCAGGTGGGAGTTGAACTCTTTTCTTACGTAAAAAATTTCTTTTGTTCTCATAAATTTGCATACATTTGTAGATGCTGGCCACGTGAGTGAAAACGCTCTGTTGCCTTTTTGCCGTTCTCTTTGTAGTCGCCGTTGTGGCATCTTAAAGTCCCTAATGATGATTTTTTTATGCTGTCTTTGTTGGTTAATTATTAACAAACCCCAGCCCAACCTCTAATCAGGGGGAACCTCTATTCAAGGGACACTTGCTTTGGTCCTGAGGGTGTCCCCTGAATAGAGGTTTCATTGTATTTGTTTTATCTATTGCTTCAAGTTTGATTTTTTTTTTCACAGCTCACTTAATAACTTTCTGTGCTTTGCACTGTGAGCCTGTCGACTTTCTTGATCGGTATTATTATAATAATCTTTGATACCTAAGACTGACTTTATAAGCTCCATTTCTTGTACATTGTACAAGTTAAAATTAACACCAAATAGTATTGCATGAAACCCGAAATGGTAAGAGCGACAATGGTCCCTATTTTTAAGTGAAATTTACTTGACATTATAAATTCATTCTTCAGGTATTATTAAGTCAGTCCGATAATGAATTTTTTATGTGTCTTGCATAATAATATTTATCATCTTTATTTAGCCTTTTACCACTTATTATCCTGGCCCCTTTTTTCAAATTGTAATCTTTCATCTACTGTTGGGGAGAGAAGATGTTGCCTGACTTGCTCATGGTATACCCAAAGTAGGTCTGGGGACGACCCAGGGACCGCATGGTCCAGTGTATCCGCACATCATAAGGATTGGTTGCAAAAACAATGAAAAAACAAAGTAACCATGGAACCCTAGCCCAAAACAAAAGACATATGGGGATCCAAATAAATATTAGAGGTTCTGAAGAGCTGCAAGGCTACTGTTATGACAAATGATTTTGAGCTGAACATTTTGAACAAATTTTCCTATAACTGATGGCGCACCTGTTTATAGTGGTACTACTGAGATCTCGGTTAAATGGAGTGTGAATATAGTTGTATTTAGCTGTAATTTTACGATACAGTAAACACTCACTAATAAGTATGGCAGAATAGGTTCTTGTATTTTGGGGTACTAATTGTTGGCAATTTAGGCTATGTAGGTTCTTAATTAGGTTCTTAATTGTTATGAAGGAGATGATAGGTTATTTATTCACAATTGTGTTATTATAACCCTAACAAAAATAGTTACCGAATTTATAAACAGTTTGTAGTACAGTATGTTTTCGTTGTTCGGCTAGATATTGCTTGACTAAACAGGTTCTTGTATTTTTGGAAATTAAAGTGGCAAATATTATTGCCAGGAGATTCTTAACCACAGGTTCTTATTAGCGGGTGTTTACTGTAACTGCCCCTATATAGTCAAACCTGTTTTAGCCAATGTCCATAAGCGGTCGCCAAAGTCCTAGAAATAGCTTCCCTTAATTATTGAAAGAACTGATCTGCATTTAGCAGTTACCTCTATTATGAATTAAGCAGCCGTGGTCACCTTTTTTGGAGGTCCCAATGAGTATTATAGTACAACCCCCGTTAATACGGTCACCAATGGGTCAAAAAAATTTAGTCATAATAGCAGGTTACCGCATTAACGGTTCTTTTTTATAAGAATTTAAAATGTATGGCTGTTCTGCCGGGTCGAGCCGAAAAAAGGTGGCCTTAATAAGTCGAGGTGGCCGTAAGGCGGGGTTCCACTGTATTAAACTGCCCCTTCTGGCAAGATGTGCCATACTCTTAAGTGCAAAGGGATAGACTACTGTGTAGGCGTTTTGTGGTCTTTTAGAGACTTGCCTATAATAATAACTTTATTAAAGTCTCATGTCTTATAGCTCAGGCACAGTGCCTTACTAATTGGGGAGACTGTATCGTATTTATAAACTCTAGTAATATATTGTGAATTCTAATTATAATTTAAACTCTAAATTCTAGTTCTAATAAATTTAATAACTAACTCTAAAAAAGAGTAAAATGGTGAGGCGAGCTAATGCCAACCCCCAAAAGGCAAAAAATGTGATATTCTGAACCTGGAGCTGGCAAAAAGGGGTAAGAAATGGGTAGAAGAGTAGTGAGATTCCCCATATTTCCTAGTGGAAGGACTTTATGTGGAGATTATGAGGATTGGAAGTCACTATATCACTTTGAAGCTGAAGCAGTAAACATCACGATCAATATCACTATTTAGGTTTTGTAATTTCTATGTTTTGTTGGCGCCATCTTGAAACAAGAGTAACAGTAAGTCTGCACATTGGTGGCAGCGGCAAGTTGCGCAGTAGGCTAAAAGAATAGTCGCGTTTGATTAAATTCTATTTCCGTTTTCTTTGGGTTGAGCTGGCTATCTATTGATATCTAACTTGGAAACGAACCCTAGCTCCAAAATTTTTTGGATTTCGACTCTTCCAGAAATTAAGCGTGAGAAATAAGTTGTCAGCTTGTGAGAGCGTGAGACAGGTCCTAAAAGTCGTGAGACTTGGCAAGTCTGCTTTTACTTCCTTTCTTTTAGCCCAAGAAGGCTACAAACAGTTTGAGGTCAATTTGTCGTGGGATATAGATATTTCGCTCTTTCACTATCTTCATTTCCTTGAATATTAACTCTTAGGTTTGTAAACCTGTCAATCTGTAGTAAGCCGAGGTTACAGGTTTGACTGTATTACTTTAATTATATCATTATCTTTCCTTACCGTTTCAGTTTCACATTATGCCTGAATCTACAATGAAGGTCACCAATAATACAGTTACAATTACTGAACTATTGAGACGGCGTCCTCTTGAAAGGGGACAAACTGTTCAACTAAAAGATGCTGATCCAAGTGAGCTTCAGCTTTTTATTGAAAAGATGCCCGCCTCTATCAAAGGTAAGACTAAGAGTATGAAATGAAATTCCCAATATTTTGTTTGATTTTGGTTTTGGAACAAAGAGGCACATGGTTGAACCTCTAGCTGTAGGTCATATAGTGTATAAATTCAGGAAGATCAAGCTTATGGCGAGAGTTCAGTACGGTGAGTGTAGTTTGGTGGTTAAACCCGTACAAGCAGTCAGACAATGATACAAGCAGCCCAAGCTTATGGTGTCAGGAGTTAGTTAGGTTTTGGTTTTTGAATTTTAAGGTATTTGATTACTGGGAACTAAACCACTCGTAGATTCAATGATACAGGCTGTTGGTGTGGGTAGTTAAATAAACTGTAAGTTTGTTTGTTTGTTGTTTGTTTTTTTAAATTTAAGGACGTATACTGATCTGTAAGGAAATAGGGCTGTAATGTTTAAAATTTCTAAGTGAAATATCCAAACTCAATGATGAGTCAGTAATAAAAACAGAGTTTTAAAAACGGTGTTAAACAAAATTGCGTTCTAAACGCTAATAAATTTGGTCTACTTTCGGCCTCTCCGTGTCTGTTGTGCCGCACAATATTATAATTGATAGAAGTAGCGCAAAATGTAATGACATTAAGCATTAACAGCTTTCTGAACAAAATGTAGCAGTCATATAACACGAAGTGCAACAAATGTTTAGCGCAAGACGTAACAACTTCTTTTGCGCGAAATGTTACAAAGCAAAATGTAACAAATAAAGCTGTTAAGAAAAAGAAAACCTGTCAAGCGTGTAAGCCTCCTCTTTTAGAATTATCACGAGACCCGCCATTGAAAAATCTTGGAATATTTCTTTGCACACTTTCGGAAGGGTAAATTATCGAGCAATTAAAATTACGAAACGAGGTGGGTCTAGGAAGGACTATTTTTTACTCTTCTTCCTGTTCTTTCAATAGGCTTGCCGTGATTAGTCGATTAAAAGCGGCCTCGAATAAAAGATCAATTAACGGTGCTCTGGAATAAACACCGCCCACAATAAGAAGAATGCGGTGTCTATTTGAGGATTACAAAAGAAAACTCGTTACAACTGGTAATCTACACCATCCAGACAATTACAATTCTATCTTGAAACTTTATGAAACACTGCGGGCGTTTTTTTATTAGGTATGTCACGCTGGTTCCTACATCCTTGTGCTTATAGTTAACGTGACATTGCATGGTTTTAGATTTTGGTCAAAACACATTCGGTATATTTTCCCGGATTACTAAGTCTTGACTAAGATTTATCCAGGTTTTGAGTAAAATGTCCTGCTTCACCTCAGGATAGGATATAGATTCGGTTTTTTTTTGTTCAGTCTGTGTAAAAGGGACATAAATGTCTGTTTTTCGATACCCCCTATGTGCCTTAACACAATAAAGAATGCAACAGAAAATTAAAGTTTTTCGTAGACACTTTTCCAGTGCATGTACTTTTTATCGGTATGGAAGTGACGAAGTTTTTACTGTAACTTCTTTTTATAGTTCAAGAATTTAGTTGTTATATTTTACATTGTAACTTCAAGGTTTATTTTTGCTCGGATTATTGCCATTAATTAGAAAATATAAATGCAGATTTGTATTAATTATAACCGATCTGCTTCTAACACATATACAGACTATAAAATGAGAAAGGTACGAGTGATTCCTAGTTCTCAGTGACTGATTTAATTAACTACAGCAACTAATAAGAAACATTCGCAGCTACACAAACTACATCAACTACTCCAACCTACAGCAACTACACGAACTACACAAACTACACGAAAGCCTTACCACCAGTGTCTCTGTATCATTTTACAGTATTCTTTTACCATTGCTGATCCAAAGCAGTATGTTGAACGCATGTCACACATAAATCTAGTATCTAGTACCAGTTGTTGTTTATTCTGTGTGTAGAGGTGTGTCCTCTGCCTTAAATCCTTTAAGGTACAGTTCGTTTTTTTTCTGTTATTTAATTGTCATAAAATATACTCCCTCAGAAAATATGGAGGATCTACGTGGAGCAAGAGTACAAACGCCTACACTTGGTGGAGACTTCCCAGGACCATCAAGGGAAATACACCAGCACGAAGCAACTTTAGAGAGGCAGCTCAGAGAGTTGCGGCAACGTGAAGAAAACTTACAAAGACAGCTGAGAGAAAAAGACCAGGAAGTAAATGAGCTAGAGTTAAGTCTTTCCTTAGCTCAGCAAACAATAAGTGAACAGCAACAACAGGAATCATGCGATTGGGTCATTTCCCGCGATGAAATTCAACTGACCAACAGATGCCTTGGCAGGGGAGGCTGGGGAAGTGTTTATGAAGGCGTGTATTGTGGCTGTACTGTAGCAGTAAAGCAAATTCATGATCTGATTCTCTCCCCTCATAACATGCTTCTTTTTGAGAGAGAAATGAATATTGCATCCAAGTGCCGCCATCCTCACTTGCTTCAGTTTATCGGCGCCACTAATGATGAGGGAAACCCTCTGTTTGTGACGGAGCTGATGGAGAAAAGTCTGCGAGCTCTGTTAGAGCAGCGACAACTCGCCGAAATAGAAATACGCGTAATTTCTCTGGATGTAGCCCGAGCAATTAACTATCTTCATCAGAAGAAACCAGAGCCTATCATTCACCGGGATGTGAGCAGTGCTAATGTGTTGCTATGGCGACAGGGTGACCAATGGAGAGGCAAAGTGTCAGATTATGGCACTGCTAATTTCATGCAGCAGACCATGACAGTGGCTCCTGGAGCTATGATTTACAGCGCACCTGAAGCACTTACATCAAACCAAACAGTCAAGGTAAGTTTCAGTGAATTTAGAATTTTTTTATTCAGCACTGGTTCATCAACATCGTCAGACTTCAAAGAGACGCGTTGCTACAGTCATCTTGAGCGCGTAGCTACTCTAAGGCCATGTTGTTCGCTTACGACACGATAGAAACCCTACTCCACTTTACCCTTCTTTACCTAGGCATGCAATTAAAAGGAGCAAAATAATGTTGAATCGGATAGCCCTGAGCAGAATGGAATAGCAATATCCCTTGCTGCTTAAGCCCTGGTCAATCGTTGGTAACGGTGGTAGCTCAAACCATCACCATTTGAATTCAAATGTACATGGTCCCAGTATTATGGTCGTTTTGAGGTGTTTATGCCACTAGAAAACAAACTTAAGCTGCAGTCGTCTGTTGTGATTGAAATGTTTCTCATTAGTTCTTCAGTTAATCATTTTGGCGACTTCGTAGATAAAACGATAGGGTCGGTGTTTTAAACGAAGTCCAACTTATGTCGCGGTTTAGGAAATCTTTGGACCTCCAGATCTCTTCCTGAGTGAGTTCTTTTAAGGTGGCTGAACACAGTTTCGCGGGCGGTCAGCGGTAGTGCATGTTTTAAATTAGACAAACAAACATGGCGACCAAAAAAGCAATGGTACACAGAAGACGATTTCTCAAAATCTGCTCATCAAAATTTTGTGATATTTGGCAGAATTTTTACTTTTATCGTATTTTAAATAATGAGAACTTTAAAATGGGAGTTGAACAGACTAATTTTGTAACACATTTAATAATTACAGTACAATTATATTATTGATTATCTGAAAACCGCTCTGCTAAGATTTGGTCAAATAAGTTTCAAATAGTAATGAATAATTATAGTAAGCTGTGTGCGAGTTAATAGGAAAATCTAAAGAGCGAATTTTATGTCAACTGAGTAAAAATGAAATTTTAAGGGTTGTATTCAATCGTTCCCGTTGCCATGGAAACTACGTTAACGTCAAATTTTACCTGTCAGTCAAAATCTTTCATCACTATATTTTTCACTTGCCAAGTTTCAGCTTGTGAGCTGCAACCTTTCTCTTGCCATAATTTAGCAAATGACCTATACTCAGAAACTGCCAAAACTGTGTTCAGCCACCTTAAGAAGATAAATGCTTTTCTTGTCCACATTATATGCTGTAATGAAACTGTTCACGTTAAATGGTGTTTATATAAATTAAAATCGTTCGGCAAACTGAAAATGGCTTAAAACGCGTTTTTGTTAAACACTGGTTAAACTGCGTTTAGATAACTGGCCAATAGAGGGGAACCTTTCTTCAACGACTGCCTTGTGTGAGAGAGTGACGTCCCTGCTTAAAAAGGTGACCATTGTAATAATATATTCTCACCGGGGCTATCCGCAATCCGCAATGTCAGTAATGCTGATAAGATATGAGAGGCTCAGCCCGAGGCGGTAGGAGGGGGTTGCTCCTTTTTCGATTGCTACAATCACTGACAAAAGTTTTTGCACATTTGTCTTCAACAAGCGCTTTAATGAACAATTTCTTGCAGTAAATACACGACTCTAAATTCCAGCTCCTCCTGGGTATTGCAGTCAACAATGGTAATGCAACATTTGGGGCGGGGGATAAACAAGATTAATTACGGTGAAAAGACTGAATCGGGAAGAGAAACTAACCTTGAGTAAGAAACCCATGCACAATGCACAGAAACGTATTACAGGTGGATTTCCACTGTCGCTTAATACGCGCGTATTAAATAGAGGTATTATATGGAAGGTCACGCGTAAACGAAAACGTAGAACCGCGCTTAACAAGCGTAAAAATTTGTTTGCGTATATGTACGTACGTGAAAATTACGCGATAGAGGAAACCCATCCTTATAGGATAGGTACGGGCTATAGGCGGCGTGCTGGAGTAACAACATCTTTTTAAAAGACTTTCCTTATTAAAGCTTATTAAGGGTGGATTTCCATTGTCGCGTATGTGCGTAAAATTTACGTTCGCAAATAAAAAAGAGGCAATGTTTGAAAGGTCGCACGAAAACGTAAAATTTGAACCTCGCTCAACTGTGAAAAAAAAGCTCAACACTTTATATCTTGCCTCTATTTTATTTACGAGATTAAAATTTACGTGCTTGTACACGCACTTAAAGATTAGGCGACAGTGGAAATCTACCCTAATTGGCATCAAAACCAGAAATACCGAACCAAAATGTTCTCAAGAAAAATGTTAGCAAAGTAAGGCGAGTAAGGTACAGTGAGTTCATCAGTTTGTACATCGTTCGCTGCTAAATGACCTTTGTAGAGAGGTTATTTTGGCCTTTGGGACGCACTTTAGAGGTTTTTGTTGAGAGGTTCAATAAAAGTAAACATATTGTTTGTCCGCTAGGACAAAGAACACATTTATCAGTAGAGTTTCGACAGTAGAAGCAGATAGGCCCAGGGTTCGTACGGGTCCTGGAAAACCTGGAAAGTCATGGAAATTTAAAATTTCAAAATCCAGGCCTGGAAAACCTGGAAAATATGTGTTGGTCCTTGAAAGTCCCGGAAAATTAGACTTTTCCTAGGACAGTGAATAAGTTTCTTTTCATTTTCTTCTCTCATATTTTCAAGTTTTTTGTGGGCGACTAATGAACGTGTACAATATTGCAAAATCGTACCTGTCGTTAATCCCAAAACCTAACTGTTCAGAGTCTGGGCTCTTGCTACCCCTGCGGTTTTACGGGCTCCCCATGTTCAAAAATTTTGTTGTTTGTTTCTGATTGAGAATGGCGCCGTTGTTTCATTCTGTTTTGAATCAAGTCAAAACGTACTTAATAGTATTGTTTCCGGCCCTTTGTGATTAAGCTGAATGAACAATGCCTGGGAAGTGTACTTTCAGCGAAAACTAGACTTCTTACGTGATATACAAAGACTGGATATTACAAGACTCAAGCTCTCAACACTTTAGCACGTTGTCGCTTGTGCCAAAAATCATTGGACTGCTCAAACATGGGGGAATCCGCCCTCAGAAGCAGTGCTGTCAACTCTCCCAGATATTCTGGGAGACACCAGATTTTGGACCGTATCTCCCAGTCTCCATGTTAGAGTATGAAATCCCCCCGCATAATCGCCGAATTTTGCCATTTCTTGTAGAGTCGACTTTCCGAAAATATTTTGCGTTGTTTGAGCTACTTTTATACTGTTAACATCGAGCGTTTCCTTGTAATCTCCCCTATGCCATTAAACTATAAGTGTTGTAATCATTTTATACCGGTACATGCGAGGATAATGCGCGCGTATAGTCCCATGTTACAAGGCAATAAATCATCCATATTTTCTGTTCATAACAATAAGCAATAATGTGATTAGTGGGAAGTAAACCGATCAAGTCAAATGTTGTGCAACAACATCTTTTTCGCGCGTTTTGTGTCATCGCAAATTCGTGGCGATCGGAGTCAACAGTATCTTTTGCACAAACGACGTCATGTTCTATTCGTTATGACGTCATCTATCATCCCTTTGCTATGAATTCTCAATATTTGAAGACGTGGGGGGTGGGTTGACAGCCCTGCAGAAGTCACAGGAGAGGGAGTAAGCACAAAGAATTAGCAGCATTAATAGCTGAGCGGTCAGTGCCAATTACCCAGTTTATGTCTTCAAAGGCAACATCTTTATCTAGCTCTGACAAACCTGATCCTTTGATGTCTTGTGGCTTACATTCCAGCCCTTCAGTACGAGATGCAGGTGCTGAAACACCAAGCTCATTTGCTTCTCTTAAAGAAACGGTCGAAAAACAGTCGAAAACCAGTCAGTTAGTAGCACAGCCAAAAAGTTATCAGAGTTCCTCAAAACGAAAACTTGAAGAAGCTTCTAAAATTGACAGCGAAATAGACTAGAAGATGCAGAAACGTAGCAAAAATGCTACATAGTTTGTTGGTTTTGTTTAGATTGTTTCAGTTTTC